ATTTAAAAACTGGCATTCAGTGAGTTCCTCAAAATACACAAAGTCTGAGACAAAAGGGAAGAAAAAAAGCTCCAATTTTCCCAGAGCCCATGCTAACTTCTTAACCCATCACCTTTTCCTCTGTTACAGAGAAGACACGGTCCTTCTTTACATCAACATCACTTTCTCTTACTGGAGCTAAAAAGAGTAAAATCTACCTCAATTACCTTCTTAATTGCAATCTAAAATTCCAAGGTATAAAGAGGTTAGTCGTAAGAAAAAAAATTAACTTTTTCTTCAAAACAGAAAATAAAATATATAAAATCCTCCTGTTTGTTTCTCATTTAACATGCATACTATTTTAGGATTCCACTCTAAGATTCTTCATTGTTCTCATAGAACAGAACAGCATTATCACAGAATAGGACTCAATTATCACAGTAGGCACTTATAATTTAAATTCCTATATAAATATCCACACAAAAATCCAGATTTCACTGTTGAGAGCTGAGTACCTTCACAGTGTAACTGCTCACTGTAGCTAGAAAAAAAAAACAAACATACCTTTACACTGTTATGTCAAAACTGTGAGATCTAAGAAGGGGTTTGACAAAGGCAAAAAACGCTGAGGAATTATAGCTCAACTCTGACTTGAAACCTGAAACTAATATGATTTGCTGTGAGTAAGAGGTTCTTTCTTTCAGTGCTGTGCAAAGATGGAAGAATATAACAACTTCAGAAATATAGTGACCCAATCTACAAAATATTATGGGTTGTAGGATGACCTCATAAAAATAGATTTTTATTGTGTTATTTCAATGATGCAAGGTTATAAGTTATTGATTCTTACAAGATATAATCAATTAACACTTTTCTGCTGTTTATCTCATGAACCAGAAGAATTTTGTGTTTACTTTGGTACAAACTATTTATTGAACGTTTATTCTGTTTTCACTATGTCAATTTGTCATTACATGATGATTTAGTGAGAAGTTAAGATTTCAGAATTTGGCTGAGTAGCAAAACTATGAAAATACAATGATCATAAATAATTTTATCAAACTTTCCATTCCATTGTGTCTTTCTCCTAAACTTTACATTTTCCAATATGTGGCTGAACTTCCCCTAAGACAAATGGTACAATTTCATTGAGGAAAATAGCAAAATGGACATCAGAGTCTGTGTCGTAATAAAATCATTTTGTACTAATAAAATTTTTCCATTTAAAAAAGACATATTTTAAGAAGGGTTTAACCAACCATATTTTTTCCTAGCAGTCAATAACTTCAATGCAGCTAAACACTACTTTAAATTAATCTATTGTTGATTTATTGATGATAAACTAGTTTGGTAGAAAATATACATCTATGAAAAATACAACAAAAACCAATTAAGCAATTAAGTGCAGTATGCCATGCAAGCATTAAAGACAATGTTATTATAACATGATACAAGTTCTATTGAGAGAGATAAGAACTACAATTCTATATAACTATAGTCCAGTTCTCTCAGGCACTTACTGGTTGGGAAAAGTGAAACATCCTCTCTTGAAATTCAAGTACTTTTTTTTTTTTTTTGGTCAAACTGTTTCTTTATGATATAACCACTTTTCTGGTTCCAGTTAAAAAGTAAAATAAAAAATGGCAAAAGCATCATCAACAGGGAAAAATATTAAGCCCTTTTCAAAAAATTAATCAGGTGCAGATATTGAACTGTACTTTTTCATCCTTTGTCTCACTTTTCAAATGATAATTTCTTCCACAGTCACCATTAAATCTTGATCTATTCCAGCTCTCTGTATGGGTCATTGATTCTAGATGTACCATGGTTATTTTTAAATGTTTCCCTTTCGTAGAGAAAAAGAGGGCTGTCTAGAGCCAGATGGGTAACTTCACACTTCATTTATCAAACCAAATGCATTAGACTCCACCCTCTCTTTCCCACTATTGCTGTTAAATTTCCATATAATTTGGTAGCAATTTTCATTATCATACAGTGACCCTAAAAAGTCTATACAGGTTTGCATGGTTAGTCCAAAATTCACAGCTGTTCCCTTCACCGTCTATTTGCTACAGTAGAATCCAAGGTTCCCCTCACTTTATAAGGTGAACAGTGACCTTCTATAAGGAGAGGTCAAGAAGGGGTCAGTTCAAAGGGCTAGAGCAGCTCTTTAACAGCTATAACAACCTGTCCATCAGGCACTATCACGCAGTATAAACAAATCTGGGGCTTTAGAAACTCTGGACCATTTCTGTTAACACTCAGAAGACATTCACTGAGTCCTACCTGAAGTATTTTGGATCACTACCACTCAGAGAACAACTTGAATCCCTAAAAGACCTGCTCAGATAGTTGAGATACTGACATCTTTGCCTCAGAAACGTATGAAATGCTGAGCTGAAACACTAAGTATATGAAACACTAAGCACACTGCCACGTGTTTTGGACTGTGGAGCTGAAATAAAATCTCAAAGAGTCATTTCAGTTCATTAATATGCAGAAACACTGGTACAACTTTAAGGACATAACACAAGAGCATGCTTTAACCACGTAGATACAAATCAGAACAGTCCATATGCCTTTCTCTGAGAAAGGCTAAATTTCTAAAAGTTCAATCAATTTGTATTACCAGTTCTCAGCGTGTCATTTCAGGTGTTAATGACACAAATAAAGCACCAGAAAGAACGGAATGACTACAAAACTCTACAAAGACCAAATACAGAGCAAAGTTTTTTTCCAGCTGCCCTCCCTTCATTGACCTAAATTTCTTGAAGTTGTACTGTTCATAATCTGCTCTCTAATGCACAATGTAAGGTAATTAGAGTCATCTGTATTTAACTTCCACAGGAAAAAAATTCTATTATCTAATCTAGCTGATCCCCTGATAGCCTGTTGAAAGTAAAATACTGTAACCTATTGCCTGCCCTTTGACAAGTGCTAATTATTTCCTGTCCAAGCACATTTTTCTCATGTAATTCCAAAGTACACAATAGACTGATCTCTAAAACATGAGCAGCCCTGCTTGTACCACAGCGGACGTTTTATAACTTTCACCACCGTGTGCTCGATGGCTACCACAGCCAGTGTTTCATTCCAGACATGAAGCAGGAGCTTTGATGAAGTAAAGTGAGGTGTATGGTAACAGCCTGTTTATGCAGCTCATATGGATGAGACTCTCAGATAGGTCACTGGAATGGGAAACATCAAATAGAAAGAAAAAGGATTATGGATATTTAATACTCAAAGGACACTTTCTTTCAGAACTTTCAAGGCACAATGCTCTTGAAATTTTCTTTCAGGTGTTTAGTTTTAAGAAGGCCTGTACTTCGTCTGCTTGTGCCTCTCCCCATCCCCCAAAATTGCAGCGCTGCTCTGTCAGGGATGAGGCTACAGCTCCAACTGCAGCCCTGGCTCCAGCCCTGGAGCACTCCAAGCAGCAAGCAGAGGCCAGAAACACAGAAACCCACCTGATGTTTAAATTACCCCCAGTTGCTATGATTTGTGATGACTTCATATATTAGGGAATTATTGTTAAACTAAAGGAACACTAAAATGATATTCCACTCATTAGAATCCTCCTCTTCTGGTTCACAACAAAGATGCACAGAATGTCCCAGAAAAGCCTTGAGTGATTTCCCCTGTCTCCAATGTGGCCAAATATTTGCATTATTTAGCAAGCACAGTGATGGAAGGTAACAACACCCCCCCCTCCCCCCCGCAAAAAAAAACAACAAACCTCAAACAACTAAAAACTCCTTAAATTCCTCAAAAAAAGATAAAACCCACATGATAATATGGACAATATTTTACTCGGAGATCTTAACTGAGTAATACACAAATAAACATTCCATACTCATAAGAACACAAACTTATAAAATGCAGCCTCTAATTTGCAAAATGATGACATGTTATAATGCTTATATTTTATCTAAGGCTTATAAAATATTTCAAGTCCACTCACTGTAACTGTCCAGAACAGCAAAGACACTCAAGTGTCAGACCCAAAGTCTACAGATTTCTTTTAAAAATTTATCTCAGAGTTTTCAAGAACTACAACAAACCACAAAAGAGCTCCCTTAAATGGAATATTTAGTGCAGGTAAAAAAATAATGCCAATTAAGGGCTAAATCTCATTTTAAAAAAAAATCTCATTTACAAAAACTGCATTAAAAATTACTTTTTACTAAAAGTTGTATTTAATTATAAGTAAGAACACCTGGTTTAAAAGAAAAGCTGTACACTCGGTAGAAAAATTTCATAGACTGATAGATACTTAATGCAAATCATAAATAAGAAAATAATAAGAGATTATGAAATGAGTATAAATCTAAAGCTTTTAGAAATAGATGTGAAAAAGGGTGACATCAACTCATTTAACAGCTAAAGAGAAGGACACAAGGTGGTATATAGTAGAAATTCTTTCTATTTACCTGTTTCTGAACAAACCAAAAGTATGGTGTAGCTGTAGCTTCTGAAATGCATTCAGGCTACATTCCAGTAACAAACCTTTCCCAACAGAAACATAAACAACTTTTAAAGTTGTTGACCTGATCTATTACCATGGCAATGAGTTCTATTAAGAACTACATATAATAAACTAGTCATAATATGAACTCCAGCAGTACATACACTCATGCCAATCTCACCCAACACAACCCAGTTAACACCAGTTGGATCCCACAGGAAAATGGCAGGATCACGAAGAAAGCAGCCAAGCAGTGTGTCCATTAGCATAGCATGCCAGCAAAGAGCATTGCTCATATTGTCAGCAATATATGGAAAACCTCAGGGCACTTGAGGTGGCACCAATCCTCAAATATATATATGTTGCCTCAAGCTATTATCAATGGCCTCCATTATGTGAGCACAGTAAGGGAGCAGTCTACCCCACAAAGTAACTCTGAAATCAGAAACAGAAACACTGACTATTCCATTCAAGGAATTACTATTTCAACAGTGAAAATTTTGAAAATTGTTTGAAAATGTCAACTTGCAAGGGGATTTATAGGAGTGTTTCCCACCTTACTGTCCATTCTTTACGCAGCCTCTGTCGCTCCTTAAGGACTAGCAGGAAGCAGCTGATGGTTTCATTCCTTTGTTCCTCAATTTGTTGTTCTTTTCTAACTTCGGAGAGGACCAGACTTGTCTTAAAGAGAGGAAACACATAAAAATTATAATCTAGAAATAGGAAACAATGTGTAAAATTAATAAAAAGCCCATAAGCAAATAAGGACAGTAAATCAATAGCTTTTTTTATTACAGTTCCACTGCTGACAAATCAATACAGTAAATGATGGTTAGAAATGGCCACCATATATTTGGTATTTAATCAATATACATGGCATATAAGGTAAACCTTAAAATCTCATTGCCTTAAGTATCACAACAAGAAATTGTGCATACTAGGCATCATTTTCTTGAGGCGTAGTTCCTTTCTTTTCTAAATATTATCTGGTATCAAATAATATTAGAAGTATTTTCTTCAATGCATTTGTTGGGGGATTTCCCTCTCCCCATTTGCTCTTTGGTAAAGCTGATGAAAATACCTGGTTTTACTGTATCTTCTGAAAGGAATTTCTGATGATGTCTCCATGTTCTCTTTATCATTAAATATTTCAGTTAAACAAGTAGAACAATATTTTCACGCATAGAATAAATTAAAAACTGCTAAAAATATACATGTCTGTAAATGCAATTGATTTAAGTCATCTGCACAGTATGATGACACACAGTCTCTGCAGACTGAAAGTTACTGGCCTTCCCAAATATTGTGTTGGCAGTTAACATTGGCGTAACAAAACTGCAGATCTTCCTATCATGCTTCATCCAGCCAGCAAGCTAACTCTAAATCCATCACTCCATCTTTGCCTTCACTAACTCACCCACCATTTTCTCCCCTTCTTTCCCCTACACTTCCCAATCTCTGCCAACTTGGGAAGGACATGGCACGTGTTGATGCTCACACTACTGACCGGTCAGATGTCCACCAGCGCACATGTGCTGACTTGATGTGCAGCAGAGTAACCATGGCAGAGTCAATGCAAGTGTCTCTTCCTTCAGTGAAGATATTATATTGTCTTTTTCACCTTAACCAGCCACTGATATACACTTAACTATTTTTGCTATTCTAACCTTCAGTTACATGTTCTGCAAACATATCAAAGTATCTAAATGCTTTCGGGAAGGATGACAGAATAGACAGAATGCTTGCACAAACCTATTTTTTTCACAGTAAAGGAGGCAAAAAAAAAAAAGTTTCCTAACCTGAGGAGTTGCATATGTGACTTTGAAAACACAACTTAAACATAACTAAGAGCTGCAATTCCTATTCCCAGCATAATCTCTCTTATAGGAACAATGTGACAAAAATACATGGCATATTGCCTCCTCCTCCAAATCACATACACTTTACATTCTGCCCTGCCCAACTAAAATTCCTCTGGGGATCCTGTGAGAGAAATGATTGTTATTATCTTTAGTTTGTGAAAACAGGAAGATCTACCCTGGGTCTGAAAGGTTTGGGTTTTTTTCCATAAGAGACAATAACATGCAGATTATACACTTCTTAAGCTACGTAAAGTAGCAGTAGCATTACTACCTCCATGGCTGTTCCAGGAGACAAGCATGACAGGGCTCACAGAGACAGAAAATAATTTTATTGTACCAACATCTGATGACAAAGAGCAAAAAGCATCTTTCTCCCCACTTCCCAGTTCTATCAGTTTGCCTACCAAAAGGCATTAGCCCATCATATGGGACTTACACATCAAAAAGAACATTTTCTTGTAAAAACTCAAAATGTTCAAAACTCTGTCTATACAGATCACATTCTTGACCCTGCTTTGACATTACAAAGCAAACAAAAAGCCAGAGAGCATTTTCAGATAAGGATTCCCTGACATGGGTTTCCCTTGCACTGACCTACAACGTCTTTTCCACAAGCTCTAATATCCGCCAACTTCAACAATCCTGACCTTACAGCCTCACTTCCAGCAGCTGCACAGTTTAAAGCAGGATTTGATAGAGGACTTCAGCATGTGAAAACACACATGAGATGATGTACATTCTTTAATGAGTGTAAATTAACACTCCTTGTCATTCACAATAAATATACCTACTAAGGCTTTAACTTTTATATTTATCATGTACAAGCCTTGACACAGCACTACAGCTTCTCTCTATTATAGGATGATCAGACCACAGCCATACAGCTAGACCACAGCCCACCAAACTTCCCTTTCAGAATCATTGGATGGCTACATTAATCACAACAGGACAGGGAAATCCACTGGTGACAGTGACGTGTCTACTTCTCTGCGAGACTGCAGTAAAGTCCCAAGTTTAAAGATGCTCTGCCTCACAAAGCTGAAAGAATAGTTATTTGCAGGCAACAAACATCAAAATCCCCAACATAAGTGATTCACAAAGTGCAGAGCATGGAGAACTGATAGTTCCTAAAGAATTTTTAGTTAAAACCTAACAAAGAAAGGATATTATTAGATTGTTATCAGTCAGGGATGGGTGACCACTTCTCCAAGTGGTCACAATCCCATAATGCTATTGTATGAATTCTGTGGACCTGGTCAAATTGTAAATTTGGTTCTGAGTTCAATTACCTGAAGTCCCCTCCATCTACAGGAACATCATAACTCTGGAAATTGAACTTAATTTAATTTTTACTGAGAGAAATTATATTGCTCCAGCTTTCTGTTAACACCCTTCATTTATGTGGTGATGTGCATAGTTCAAGTCAAATGCATAGTTTGACACTGACATCATAAACGCTTCTTTATTAAGCCCTGTGAGAACAGTTGCAGCTACCTGGAGGGTGAAATAGTATGATTAAGCAACATACAACAACAATACATAGCTATTCAACTGATTTACTTGTTTTCTAGGAGTGCTGAGGGCAGTGAGGTTACCTGGAATGTGAGTGCAGGGCTTGATGTGTAGCTTTTATAGAGGCATTTCTTAATAACTTGCTATTCTTATAATCTCAATAAAAATCTCAAATTGTAACAAATAAAGCTGCATTCTTGGTAAAATAATATTATAAAACATGTTCCTTTGAAAGGAACATGTTCCTTTCTTTTCCATGTAACTTGTTTGGGGATTTATTTTTAACAAGGGGATTTTATACCTTGACTGATAAAGGTCAAGGGTTCAAGAAACTCGGTCAAAGATGTTATCAGCTGGGAAAGCCATTTCCTCACATCAACACTGATAAAAATCCATCTGAAACCCGGCTGATACCACCCCTTCTCTAGAGAGCAGGAATGACCTTCTGAACATCACTACAGTTGCACATCCCATCAAAGAAAATCTGATCTTGTGTCTCAATTCTTTCAATGACAGATAATTGTCTGCAGAGGCCCCCTTTGCCCAATGCTGAGTGAAGCCCTCACATTTCTGAACTGGACTCAACACTGACTCAGTGTTTTTCAGCACACATGGGACTGCAGGACAGTAGAATAAATAAACAAGGCAACCAGCCCTACAGCCTCTCTTATCTCATCCTTGTGTTCACAGAGATTCTTGAGGGTGGTAATGTTTACAAACTGTTGAAACTTTCTTTCTTCTGCTTCCTGAGCTGGCAAAAACATATCCTGGACAACTTAAGCAACGAGATTATGCAAACTGCTTATCACTTGTGGGAAGCATCTCCTTGTTTCATTGTTCAGCATATCACTTTAATAAGCAGCATTGTTAATATTTTCAGTAAATCTTACTCAATTCTCCTTATAGATCTATTAACATATTTAAAGCCTTTCCTTGTAAATCCCAAATGGCATGGGTCTTAAAAACAAACACACAACCCACCTCTCAAAAAAGCCCAAAGGTATACACACATATATCTTACATATATATATATAAAGTGTGCCGATCCAGCCTTCTACATTAAACATAGTATCTAGGAAACTGAACTCTTTGACTTCCTCCTGGTACAGCAGCAGAACTAATCTAATGCTCTACTGACCTATCAGGCAGCAGTCAGAGCATCTTCTCTCATTATCTAAGAAAGGAAGGTACTAAGATTAGATTTTAAGAGACCAACACCCTATTCCCTCTCATTCCCACTGACAAAATATATCAGTTAGATGGGACTGAATTGAAGCTGTTATAACCAAGCCTTTCTATTCACCCAGGAAATACACTTAAAATTAGATATGTAAAAAATCTAAACTAGGTTTTTTAACAGGATTACAGTAATATTTTTTCTTAGATACACAGCAAAAGAAACTCTGTTTTAACATCCATAGGCCACTACCCTGCTGAACTGTGTGTGTCCTGGGTGAATACTATGACATGCTTACACACATGCAAGTAAAAGCAACATCTAAACACTCCAAACCCCACACTGGTACATTTTTGATCTTCTAAAGCTAGATTTTTCCTTCCTTCAATACAGACCTCTTGAGGAGCCAGACTTAAGGTTAAAAACACTGTATAGCTGGAGACATGAAGCCTAGTGTTCTGTCAAACAAATTAGCCTTCAGTCTGAACTAAAGTGGCACTTGGGACAGTTTGCCTCTTGGTTCTACTTTATTGGGTCAACAAATCAGATTTTTCACTCTTAGATTTAATTTACTCACCACCAGTTTAAATAGGATAAGCTTCTGAATCTTTAGCAACCACTCCTACTTTAACATAGCAGTTATCTCTAAAAAATCAATAACTAATACAGAAAGGAAAAACATAAGAGTAAAATCTGTAAGCAGAGATGAAATGTTGTTCTGTATCTTCCCTGTTACTTTTGTCATTTTATTTTGCTTTCAGTGCAAAAACTATCCTGATGAAATTCTACAAAACTAGAACATGGTGCCTTTTAAAGGGGTGGAGGAAAAGAAGCTGAAATCTATTAAGCCATGTTAATTTAACACGTTGTAATTCCTCCGTAATAAAAAAAGCTAGTAATTGCTTACAAAACACTGCTCATTTCTTCTTTACTTTTAAAATACAATCAAATGCACCCATTTTCATTGATATGATGGAAACAGCCAGTATGGTTTAAGTTATCACCCAGTAATTTGGGCACATTAAACCCAATTCTCTGCCTTTTGTTTATTAATCCACTATGCCAGATATCACAGCTTCACTCAGCAACCCGCATGTTTTGGATGATATTGAAAAATGAGTCATGTTTGT